GCTTTACCCCATGACATTGCCTTAAACTTATCTTCATACCATGAATAAGATAACCTTAAGTCATCCTTGCTTATTTTGATTTTCCCCTTAAGTTGGTAGCAATCTGAGCACTTTTAATATTTGTGGAATCTGACACATTCTCCCAAATTCAAGTTGCTGCAGGCATTCTCTATACTCTGAGGCAAGTGACCCCAATTGACACGTGATCCACACAATAGAGGAATTGCCTAATTTAGTTGTATAAAATATCTTCCTTTACTGGACAGACTTCCAGCCAATAATTAACTGTTGGGTGGCTTTTTTTGATAACTGGTATAGCAATCTTTTAGAAGAAGCATATGGCAAAGCATACCAGATGTTTTAGAGGCAGGATAGCTTTCAGGAATGGATACAGAAATGTTTATGCAAATAGAGTTTCCTATTAAATAAACTTAAATGTTAATAATGTTATGAATCAATGTATAGCATTATGTCTGGTTTTGCAAATGAAGCTTTTAATCATTATATATTTTTTTCTTTTTTTTCTTTTTACATATAATAATTTTGTTTTTTAAAAAAGAAAAGAATATTATTAAATAACAAGCCACAATTCATCCACTCAAAAGCGGGAGGCTGATAAAATCTGCTAAAATAGCAAACAGGTTTAGATAGAAACAAGGAAAGTAAGAAATCTTGCAACCTGTGGTCTTCTGGTTTGGCGTTCGACAAGACAGATGGAAGAAGCCGGGGCTCCAGCTTCTTAGCCCGATTTTGTTCTGCCCAGCGACCCCAAGGGGTCGGAAAGTTGCCCTGGAGGGGCAACAAAGAAGGAGGAAAGCCTCAGGAGTCTGGACTACACGGCAGTTGGTCCAGACAGATTGAAGAAATCCTCTAAAAGGACGGAGGAAAAGCTGCCTGATAAGCCCAGACAGCCCAAGTCACCGCCAGCCAGAAGAAAAGTGAGGAGCCGCAGCGCTCTGCTAAACAGCTGATTGTCAACAGCATGCTGAAACTGGGTGAACCTGCTCTTTTTCCTTTTCCTTTTGCACCTAAAAAAATTAATCCCCTGATTTGGAAGAGCTATAAAGTAAAGACTCCAGAAGGACTAGGGGAGAAGAGAGTTAAAAGTGGCAAGCAACTACAGAAAGGGGAAGGATTTTAAGGAATATAAAATGGACTCCAGAAGATGGTAGAGGACAGGAAGACCTGGAGGAACATTGTCCATGGGGTCGCGACGGGTCGGACACGACTTCGCAATTAACAACAACAACAAAAGAACTCACCAACGTATGAGGGCATCTAGTGGTCAAAGAAGATACTACAGTAACACTAAATAATAAAATAATCTGAAAGTGTTTGACCTTGAAACAACACCTTTGTGTGAGTTTACAAGTGAAAAAACGTTCTACAATTATATTTGTTGACTCTGGATATAACCAAAACAGGAATTATTTGGAGACAGTGGGCGTTTTACATCTGAGACTCGACTGGAGGATTTGGATTTGGCCTAAAGCAGTTGGCTTGTTCTTTTTGGCTGGATTTTATCCTAAGATAGTTGGCTTTTTTTTCTTTTTGTTTGTTTTATTTTGTTTTCTCTCCTTGAGATACTGGATTTAGCCTAACGTAGTTGGCTCATTTTATGGTTTGGATTTTAGCCTAAGATAGTTGGCTGGAAAAATGAGTACATCAAATCTCACCAGACTTATGAAAAAGACTTTCTCTGCACCCTTTGTTGGAACATGTAGCCCAACAACCCAGGGATCAAGAAATAAAAAAGATAATTAAAGAATATTAAAAAAAACTGTATGACAGAAGAAATTCCAAGAGAGAGGATGATCCAATTATCTGGAAGAATATAACCTTCCAAAAATTTCAGAAACCTGTAAGATTATGTTAGAGGAAAAAATAATGATGAAAATAACAGTTATTTCCAATGATGGAAATAACAGAGGCCATAAGAAGACAAAAAAACGAGAAAACACCGGGGCCAGATGGACTACAGACGGAGTTATATAAAGCTTTACAAGATATACTAAGTGAACTGCTAAGAGACGTTTGCAATGAACTTTTGTTAGAGGCTAAACTACCAAATACATGGATAGAAGCAAATATTACTTTAATACCAAAAGAAGGCTCAGATTTGACAAGTATAAAAGTATAGACTGATATTGTTACTGAATGTGGATTATAAAATTTTTATTTCAATAATGGCAGAGAGACTGAAAAGATTCTTAATTGAATTTATACATTCAGATCAAAATGGTTTTTTGCCAAAGAGACAAATTAAAAATAATTTAAGAGTGATAATGGATGTATTGGAATATTATGAATTACATCCAGGGAAACAACTGGCACTAATATTTCTAGATGCCCAAAAGGCATTTGATAATGTTTCCTGGCAATTTATGATTCAGCAATTACAAATAAAGGACTTTGGACAGAACTTTATAAACATGATGAAAAACAATATACAATAAACAAACAGCAAAAGTGATTGCAAATGGAGATTATACTGAGAACTTTGAGATAAGAAAAGGCACAAGGCAAGGATGTCCATTATCTCCACTGTTATTTATTTTTCACTCTGGAAGTTTTAAATAGAAATATTAGACAAGATATAGAAATTAAAGGACTAGAAATAAAAGGCAAAATATATAAATTACAAGCATTTGCTGATGATTTGGTATTTATTTTAGAAGAACCTTTGGAGATGATTCCTAAACTATTGGGAAAGATAGAACAATACGGAGAAATGGCAGGACTGAAAATAAACAAAAAAAAACCAAAGTAATGGTTAAAACCTTACAGATAAAAAAAACCAAATGTCGGAAAAAAGAGAATTGCAGATAGTTAAAAAGGTCAAATATCTGGGAATATATTTAACAGCAAGATGTTCAACAATAAAATAAGATAATTATACAAAACTATTTAATCAAATAAGACTTGATCTGGAAAAATGGAAAAACTTGCTATTGTCAATATTAGGAAGAATTGCTATAGTGAAAATGAACATACTACCGAAAATCTTATTCTTACTCCAAAAACTACCTATAAACCTTGAGAAAAAATTATTTGAGGACTTAAATTTACTAATCTTGAAATTTATTTGGCAAGGAAAGAAAGCTAGAATTAAGGTGAAAATGTTACAAGATGCCAAGAAAAATGGAGGTTTGGTCTACCCGAGTGGATTTTATATTATCAAGCATCTGTATTAATATGGGTTAAAGAATGGATAACTCTTAGAAATAAAAGACTGTTATATCTAGAGGAGCATGATTTACAATTGGGGTGGCACGCTTTTTTATGGTACAGGAAAAATAAACTCCATAAATATTTCCAAAATCATTATATAAGAAATGCATTATTAATAACACGGGAAAAAATAAAATGTAAACTATATTTGAAAATTCCAGGGTGGTTGTCAACAATGGAAGCATTTGTACACTCAAATTTAGTGAACTTTGAAAAAATCTGAAAGGAATTTAAAATCTAAACAAGAAATGGAAAAACAGGGTATTAATCTATCATGGTGGGCACATTTACAAATGCAAGCTACATATGATAAAGATGTTAAACTGTATGGGTTTTATAAGGAACAAACTGTGTTTGATAAGACCTTGTTTACTTCTGATGAGAAACTAATTAAGAAAATGTATAATTTTCTATTAACTTTGAAAATGGAAAGCGAACAAGTTAAAGAAACAATGATAAGATGAGCAAATTGTTTTGGATATAATATAGAATTCAAAAAATGGCAAAATGTACAGGAAAGAAATTGCAAACTGACAATGTCAACTTCCTACAAAGAAAATTTATATAAAATGTTCTATAGATGGCACTTACCACCAACAAGACTAGCAAAAATGTTTAAAAACATGTCAGATACATGTTGGAAATGTAAACATAAGTCAGGCACTTATTACCATGTTTGGTGGACATGTGACAAAGTAAAGAGTTATTGGAAAAAAATACATACCTGGCTAGAAAAGATGTTGGGAGAACATGTAGATTTTAAACCTGAACTTTTTTTATTAGGTATAATGCCAGAAAAGACAAAGCTTATATTTGATTTTGCATGTCACAACAGCAGCAAGGATTATATTTGTGCAATACTGGAAAAATGAAGGAATACCATCAGATGAAGAAATAATTAAAAAAATACTAGAATGTGCAGAGATGGCTAGACTGACTATGAGACTGAAAGAAAAAGAAGAAACAGAATGCTATCAAATTTGGGACTTATTTTATCGATGGCTAGAGGAAAGAATAAAGGATTAGGAATTAAATATGTATTAGCGAATGTAAACTCAGACAGCAGGTTTGTTGAAAAATTATTATTGAATGTATGGGAAAAAACCTAATAAAAACTCTTACAAAAAAAAAAGAAATCTTGCAACATGTGATAAGATGCCTGAACAATGAATATGTCATTAACAAAAGAAACTGCAAGAATACTGAGTAATATCATCATAAAATGTCAAAAGGGAAATGACTAAGTGGAAAATAAAAAATAAAGATGGAAGGCATAAATATAGGGTGCCAATAAATATAGATATACTACTTAATTTTGGAGTAAATTGAAGACAATTTAGACCATCTTTACTTAATGTTCACTGTGCTAAATGAGATTTATCTTCAAAGTTAATTCAGAACTGCAGTCAAGTAGGGTAACAGAGGTATGCCAAAATAAAAAGGATTATATAGAAGAGACCTACCAATAATGAATGTATATATCAATTTCAATTTTTTCTGATTTCTCTTTTTTTAGAATTCTAAGGTTCTGAAGAATTAAGAGTGAGCAAGAGCAAGGAACAACCCCAGCCATCTATATTGCTATACTTCTGGAAGCCTGATTCCCCTGGATCCTTAAAATAATGGTCCTGGACCTCACATTCCATTTGCAGAAGCACATTTTACCCCCAAGATTAAACAATATATATATTGGCTGGAGGCAAATAAACTATTATTATACCTATCAAGCAAACAATTGGTCTGTATTAAAATAATAACAGCAAAAATACCTGAGTGATGTAAATAATTTTGTGCAGCTGAACTAGAATCTGTTGAATAGGATCACTGATCTGACGTACCTTCCGTTGCGACACAGCAATCCCAGCTGATGCTGCAGAAGATAATGTTATAGTCAGCAATGAAAATAAATTTGTGCTTTCAGTATTTTTCTCAAAGACAAATGCAGAAGCCAGGAAAGGGGAAAAAAGAACAGAAAGGCATTTGGATCTTGCAAATTGTAATCTAGTATTTCCCTTCTTGTAACAACACTATTAATAGAGAGTTATTGAATTTTAAATATAAAACATTTTCCATGCTTTAGTTCTGTTGAAATATTTATGGAGCAAAAGCAAAATAACATTTTTTAAAAAGTTCAATAAAATTAGATGTAGGCTATACAAAAGTTGTCAAATCATAAGTTATATGCTTTTCAACATTCTCTAGGAGGAAAAGATAAAAGTCATTTTCAGCCTTCAAAACCTGAATAAGATTATTTTAGGTGCATTCTACAACCAGACATAAAAATCTATAAAAGTAGTTCAACTTTATTCATAATAATATCAAGAACTGAGCAAATTTAAATTTTCATTTCCTTTCTGATTCAGTATCACAGAATATGAATGAACATATGCTACAAGATGTTTTTCTTTTTATAAGACAATTAAAATAACAACTCCTGCATACTTTCTCAGCTTAAAATATATGTAAAGAATGGGGCAATATCTACAATGTCTGCACAACAGCATCATTACGAGACTCGTTTTCCTCCTGTATTGTAGTATTAGTAATACAACCAAATTGCCATTATTGGACCTGCAATATATATGCTTATTTATGATTTTTGTCCTAGGCTGCCTCTATATGAAGTGAAGTATTAATACCATTTTACAATGCCTTGGTAAGGCCACACTTGGAATACTGCATCCAGATTTGGTCACCATGATGTAAAAAAGAAATTGAGACGCTAGAAAGAATAGAGAAGAGCAACAAAGATGATTAGGGGACTGGAGGCTAAAGCATATAAGGAACGGTTGCTGGAATTGGGTATGTCTAGTTTAATAAAGAGAAGGACGAGGGGGGACATGATAGTAGTGTTCCAATATCTCAGGAACTGTCACAAAGAAGAGGGAGTCAAGCTATTTTCCAAAGCGCCTGAAGGCAGGACAAGAAGCAATGGGTGGAAACTAACCAAAGAGAGAAGCAACCTAGAATTAAGGAGAAACTTCCTGACAGTTAGAACAATTAACCAGTGGAACAACCTGCCTCCAGAAGTGATGAATGCTCCAACACTGGAAGTTTTTAAGAAGAAACTGGACAGCCATTTGTCCGAAATGGTATAGGGTTACCTGCCTGAGCAGAGAGTTGAATTTGTTGACCACGAAGGTCCCTTCCAACTTTATTATTATGGATCATCGCATAGTCAGTCAGATGTTCAGACTGGATTTGGCATTTTGTCTACCTATCGAGTCCTTACCCAGGACCTGGGATAGGCAGATGTGGATGTTTGATGGTATTACAGATATCGTCGCAGGATGGAAGCAGTTCCTAGTAAGGCCGCCTTTTGCAATTGACTAATAACGAATTTGTCAATGCCATTGGTGTTCAGGTGGTGCTCCAGTTCTTTTGGGATTGCACCCAAGGAGCCTATTACTATTGGTACTACTCTTGCTTGCTTTTGCCACAATTTTTCTATTTCTATTTGTAGGTCTTTGTATTTTGTTATCTTCTCCAGTTCTTTCTCGTCTATTCTGCTGTCTCCAGGCACTGCCACGTCCACTATCCAGACTTTTTTGTCTTTCTTATCGACAATTGTTAAGTCTGGGGTGTTATGTTGCAGGTGCTTGTCTGTTTGAATTCTGAAGTCCCAGAGCAGTTTAATTTTATCATTTTCTATGACTTTCTCTATTTTATGATCCCACCAGTTTTTGTTTACAGGCAAATGATATTTTTTGAGATCTTCCAATGCACCATTGTTGCTACTTTGTCATGCCACTGCTTGTAGTCAGTCTGTGCAATCTTCTTGCAACAGCTTACTAGGTGGTCCACTGTTTCTTCAGCTTCTTTGCATAGGCGGCACTTACTGTCTGTTGCTGTCTTCTCAATTTTGACTTTGTATGCATTTGTCCTTAAGGCTTGGTCTTGTACAGCCAAAATTAGTCCCTCGGTCTCTTTCTTCAATTTTCCTGCTCTTAGCCAGGTCTTGTTATTATCTGCTTTCCCAGCTATTTTTTTAATGTATTGGCCATGTAGTGCTTTGTCTTCCCATGTCGCTATTCTGTTCTTCATTTGGTCTTTCTTGTAGGCCAGTTTGGTCTCTCCAGTAGTCAGTAAGCCTTCCTGATATACTAATTTCAGTGCATCTTCATCATTGTTCTTCAGATATTCTTCCAAAGCCATTTTTTCTTCTTCAACCATCTGATGTACTTGTAGCTATTATTACTACTACTACTACTACTACTACTACTACTACTACTACTATTATTATTATTATTTATACAAGGTATATTCAAAGTCAGGCCCATAGACAATCACAGTATGTTCTATTAATTCTCTTTTTTCCCAAGAGAAAATATTACCATACTTAGGAAATGTTCAAATATCATTCATCAAACAAGAAAATGGCCACCAATCTAAACACTTAATATAAAGAATATGATAAACAATCTATTCAGCCCAACGTTTCGTACACTTTCTATTATTATTATTATTGTTTGCTTGTATTAAGTTTTAATCTTTTATTATTGATGGTATTACAGATATATATATGTATGGTTGTAAAATATTATCTCCATAAAAAGTATTCAGATAGATAGAATATAGCCACTGAAATTAGAGAATACCTTTGCAGTTAACAACTTTGAAAGAAATAAACTATGATACTCCGATAGTTATATGGTATTTATGACCACGCGAGTATTTTTAAAATTACAGTGTCAAAATATTTGAAAATTAACAATTTACAGACATCTCTGAGTACAGAATTTACTGTTAAAACAGATGCTGTTTTCAATATTTTATTATGTATTATTATCATGATGCAGGTACTGGGTAGAAGGCAACCTAATCTTACTTCTTGCTCTGAAGTCAGCTGGTCTAGAAAGATGCTAGAGATTTTTCACAAGATCATACACAAGGATGGTATATTCACTCAAGGGAGCCAACCAGCAGTGCTTTCTCATCTTTTTCAGTTTTACATTAAAAAGCCTCCATACATATAATCTAAAACTTTCATCCAATTATTGGACATATAAGCATAAATATAGCGACCTGTTGATGTGAATGATTGGGGAAGAAAAAAAATACTGCCCTTAGAATGCACATACATGGGGATCTGTCAGCCTTATAAGATAGAACAAGCTAAGAAACAAATACTATGTAGACCTGCAGCTACTTTCATTAGTATTTATTTTATTAATATTTATTAATTTATTAATAAATGCTATTTATTAGTATTTTCTTTTATTAGAGTTACTTGGGGTAGTGAAATTGGCAGCATATAAATTTAATAAATAAAATTTTATTAGTGTTTATTAGCCATTTTGGTCTAATGGCTAAAGCAGCAGACTAGAAATCAGGATATCTTGAGTTCTAGTCCCACCTTAGGCACGAAAGCTGGCTGGCTGACTTTGGGTCAATCATTCTCTTTCAGTCCAACTCACCTCACATGGTTATTGTTGTAGGAAAAATAGAAGGATAAATGAGTATTAAATATCTTAGCTGCCTTAAGTTACTTATCAAAGTAATAAAAGCAGGATATAAATAAATTAAAAAATAGCTATAGTAACAGAATCTTGCAAATCAGAAAGTACTTTCCTTCCTCTTTCATCTTCTTGTGAATTTATGAGGAGGGGCAGTCTGGGGGGTTTCCATAAACCACTTTCTCGGGCTGGGCTAAAGGTTCAGCTATCTGATTGTTGCTTTGGCAATTGATTTTCTCTCTGTACTTCAAGATCATCCTCTATATTCATTACTGGATCCAAACTAAATTCATTTTATGACTTGATTTAAAACTTAATGTATATTTCATCCATTTCAGGAGGGGAAGTGGTACAGTTTTCTATCTCCACTTTTTCCATGATTATAATATACGAAATATAACTAATATTAGTTAATACCTATATGCAGTACAAAATAGTTTATGTTCTTTATGAAAGATACTGACAGACTAGAAAATAGCAGTCTAAAGGTAATCAAAGCCAGGCAGAAGAATTTCAAAAATGTGTGAACAGACTTGCAGAGGAAATTCCTTCATTTGAATATTCCTTAAAGTATAATAAAGAAAATACAGTCCCTTTGAATTTCTCCTTTGTAATTCTTTGGTTGTTCCAACCCTCATTTTCTAATGTTTGTGCTAGTGTTAATCCAGGACAAACTTTCCTCATATTTCCAGCTATTTATGATGTAAAGAGAGAAAGAGAAATAACTAAGCTATTTCTACCAACATTCTGAACTTCTGATTTTCCTTGTTCCTTTCCTTTTTTCCAATTTTTTTGTCATTCCTATCATAAAACATGTTTTTTCACTCTCCAGTAAAAAAAAACACCTTCAGATGACTGCTGTCTAAACCGTCATCCCTACAGCATGTAGTTGTTTTCCATTCATTTTTCAGAAGGAATAAAAAATAACAACAAATGCAGTATCAATGGAGTATCCAAGCGTGTTCAAAAATCAACATTGATAAAGAAAATACAGAAAGCCGTCATTTAATAATGTCAATTAATGGCCATTTGAAGTTATGATAGACTTCTCCAAAAAATATGTACCACTACATTTCAAAGTTATGGTCCCTATAGTGCCCCCCCATGTCATGCACTGTTATAACCAACTACAGAGATGCTGGAGCAGCCCCTCCACGTCTCTTCTTCCCATCCTATCCTGCCAAGTCCCGAAAGACCTTAAGCCTGCCCCCTCATCTATCCATACGCACACTTATCTTTTGAAAATCTCCAGACCTCATGATGTGGAAGGAGGACAGACCATTTATCCAGGTGTAGGACAACTTGGCACAGCCAGCTTGGCACAGCCAGCTCGTTGCAGCCAGATCACCATTAAGTTGCCTCTCCAACTTACCACCAAATTATTGCAGGACAACTCAATATGGCCAATTCATTGTGGAGACAATTCACAACATGTAGCCAGAGGGAGAGCCGGGAAGGTGGGGGAGTGAGCAGATAGGCAGAGTACAAAGCAGCAGTGGCTGGGAATTCTCATCTGCACAATACTTGCAATTGCTGTAAGTGCCACTGCTACCGCACTGAGCTCTGAGACATTCGGTGGCAGCATTGGGTAGGGCAAGCAGCCTGGAGAAAGTGGCCCAGTGCATCCCATTTTCATATCCTGCCACTGCAGTGTCAATCTCCAGGAGCTCCAGGACTTGGCATCACAGCAGCAACAGAGGCAACAGCTGGTGTTGAAAATGGGACGTGCCTGGTCACCACTGACTACTGGCCTCCTGCCCTGCCCACCACCAATGCTACCGAATGGGTTGAACTATGAATGGCCTGGAGTTTGGTGGGGTGGCAGGGACAGTGGCGGGGGATATGCAAATGGAAAGCCCCCAGCCACCACTGCCACTCTGCACTCTGCCCACCTGCTCACTCATCTGTCCACCTACCCAGCTCTCCCTCCATCTGCCCATGACGAGTTGCCCCTGCAACAAATTGGCCTTGTATTGTCCTGTGATGACTTGGTGATGGTGAGTTGGCATAGGGGACTTGACGGTGATAAACTGGCAGCAATTAGCTGGCTGTGCTCAATTCTTCCATTCTACCCTTGTCCATGTGTTGCATGTCTTTGCCCCTGAAGTGCCCACACTTTCAACCCACCAATTCTTTGTAGTCATATAGAAATGGCAGCCATATGGAGGGGGGGGGGGAAATCATTCTGCTGTCTAATACAGTCTGTGCAGCACTTAGGAAATCTCTGGAATTCAAAGATCTTCAAAAAGTAAATTCATGATGGGTGATGGAATGAGGAGTAAGCCTAAGGTGTATAGGGACCCGGTGGAGAGGGAAAAAGGCCTCCAGGGTGCATGGAATAAGTAGGTGCAAGGGCTATTGATAGGAAACAGAGCATGAAGTGTCTCAGGGGATGATGGAGACTCTAGGACATGGGTGTCAAACTCATCACATCATGTGACATGTCACGACGTATCGCGACTTTTTTTGCATTGCCAGGATGGGCATGGCTTCGGTATGATGAAACCGGCCTGTGGGCTGGCAGTTTGACAACCCTGCCCTAGGAGGTCCAGGGCAGGTGGGACTGATCCTTCACTAGGTCTCCCAAGCCTCTTGCACTCCTGACGACCACCTAACAAACTAAATATTGTTTTAATCACTGCATAGGGAAAAGCAAGGAGTGTGAATCATTAAGTGAGACTGTCTTGCTTGATGGCTATCAACTTTTGTGGATTACCTGTAAAGAACCTTCTAGTTTAGAAAGACCTTTTGAGAACCGGATCATTTTATTCAGCTTGAATCTTGTAAATGTAAAAATGGCGGAAAGAGCATAAAAGACAAGAGATTAAGATGGAAGATTTCCTCACATTATTTTATGATACTGACAAATTATTTAGAGAAATTGTGAACTTTCAAAAAAACTTCCAGAAAGGTTTTGTCCATTTTTTACATAACTTACACCAGATCCATCCTAGTCCAAATAAAAATGGATTGATTTTCAGCATATTTATGAAATATAGAATCAAAATAATTACTGAAGGGCATTTATAAGAATTCTAAAAAAGGTAAAAATCAAAAGAGACTATTATACTTTAGTTAAAAACAGATATTTCATTTTGAAAATTTAAACAAACAAGACATTTTCTATGCTTAGTTGAACTATTTCTGATCAGCAAATCAGCAAAATATACAGAATATACACATAATATATAAAGTATATCAAAACAGAAAATGTAATAGCCTCTTACATTAACTGATATTTTTTCAGGGGAACTGTATTAATTCATGCTGAGATAATTGGTAAAAAGGTCTACTCAAGTAATAGACCATTACAAAGAATTCAGTAAAAATTTTATAGCATTTATTGAAAAATAATTCTAAAATATGCTGCTTTAGGAAAGACTGATGAAAGTTCCAACCAAATTTATTCTAACCTCTAAATGCTGCATTTTAGGCCATATTATATTACATAACATTATATTACATCATGTGTTTTACAATATCTCCAAATTTATATATCTCAATATCTTCAAAAAAAAAGATATAATTTACTTGTTATTTTTCTCCTAACCCTTAAAATCTAGAAAACAAACTTCTTGTAAAACACTGAGATAAACAAAACATCTGAAAGTTTTCACCTCTGGATGTACAATGATGAATTACAAGAAGACCAAATTTATAAATGTTATACAGGTAGTCCTCGACTTATGACCACAATTGAGCCCAAAATTTATTTTGTTAAGTGAGACATTTGTTCAATGGATTTTACATCATTTTATGACTTTTCTTGCCACAGTTGTTAAATGAATCACTGCACGTGACGTTAGTAACCTGGTTGTTAAGTGAATCTGGCTTTCCCAATGACTTTGCTTATCAGGAGATCATAAAAGATGATCATATGACCTGAGGACACTGCAACCATCATAAATATGAGTCAGATGTCAAGCATCTGAATTTTGATCATGTGAACATGGGGATGTTACAGTGATCATAAGTCACTTTTTTCAGTGCCGTTGTAACTTTGAATGGTCACTAAAGGAACTGTATAAAGCATTTTCTTTCTTGTGGAAAAAACAATAATGTTGGGAAATTTGTAATATGCATGATGTGCCCTAATCTGCCATCTGCAGATCTGTAATCTTTGACCACTGTCATCCTATCCAACGTACACCATTTTCTTGTTCCTACGGCTGGCTAAGTATGCCCAGCTTAGCCCTTTGTGGGGCAGCTGCTACCCATACAAGGCTTCTTTTTTCAAATCACACACACTGGTTTCCTTGCAAAACCTGGGAAAGATGGCATCATATGACCAGAAGCTGTTTTGTAAAAGGTCTGGGTAAGCATGCATTATCAACAGTGGGAGTAAGAAGATGACAAAAGTCAGCTGGAATAATGGGATGTACAGTAGGACTGCTGGAGCCTCAGAATGCAGGATGGTGAAGGCTGTGGCAGTTGTGGATTGTGCTGTGCTGCTGAGGAGATTGGTTTCTTGGGTGCTGTGGATGACTGGGGCTTCCTGTGGTGCTGTGGCTTTGTGCTGTATTATTATGACAACTGGGGCTTCCAGGGAAAAGCAGAGACTTCTTGCTGCAGCTCAGAGGCTTTTTGCAGCCCCAGAGCCATAGTGCACCAAGAAGCCCCTGAGCTGCAGCATGGTAAAAAGCCCCATAATTGCACAGTTCTGGGGATATTTGCTGCAAGACAGGGTACATGGCAGCCAAAAGATAGGGTTGGGTAGGGGAATTGAACAATTATCTACTGTTCCTGTCTCAATTTTTCCTTTGTCCACCTGGTATCTTCATTCCATTTTTTCTTGGACTGCTCCAATTAAACTTGGAAACCATTCTTTGTCCCATTTTTTTCTATACTGTAAGATTCCAGGTGTCTTAGAAGTTAGATATTTTTTTAGAGTTCTACGTAATCTTATTTATGTAAGACTTTTTCTTCAATACATATGTCACTATTTATAACTTTTTTGTAAACTTATGTTCTATTCATAACTCGCTTAATGGTGGATACTTTTAAGTACTACCATGATCTTTCAGATTGCGCAGAATCACAGCAGGAAGGCTATGAGATTTCCACCCTGTCACTAACGAATCCTCTATTTTCTTAACGTGAGCCCTGAACATGAACGAAGGCGCTTTCAGAAGCAGGTCAAGGGGCAGCAAAGCTGAAGAAATAAAAGAAAAAAACTGCATGTGAAACTAACACATTTTAAAAATAAGTTTAGAAGAAATTCAAGATGGGAATCCTTTCAAAAATAGTGGCAGAAGTAAAATTACCGGGTCTTGGTCTGAATCCTGGAATTCCAGTGTAATCTCTGCAAAAAACAGAAAGGGTATTAAGCAAGAATAATCTTTCAAATAATAATTGTCTGAGAAATTTAGCATATAAAATGCAACAATGCCTGGAAAGAAAATCACCTGGGGGTCTTATGTACAATGACTCTAATTTTATCAAAAGTTTACAAAGAATCACTCATACATTATCCATCTTTCTTATCATGCAGTATTACTAGAGGCTGCACATCTTTAAAGATTGTCTGAAAAAACTGTTTTAGTCTTTGTGCGATCCTAAGCATAGAACTTCTCTGCTATTCCTTAAAGCAGCCCTTCTTTTTCTTGCTTCTGAGCAAATCTAAAAAAGGCAGTTTTTCAAAAGTGTATTAACTTTTCTGTACTAAACCTATGTAGTTTTCTGTAAAATGCTGACACCAAAAATGTATGTTCATGCTATTTAACATTTTAGTTAGCACCACCACATGTAGTTCCCAAAACTTTTAGATTTTGCAATAATATTTATTAAAAAAAATTCTGATACAAAGAGAACAGCTTTAAATACACAATTGGGGAGTTATCATTTTAACTATATTTACTTTTAGTTTAGTTTAAATGCAAATTATATAAGATCAGATTTAGTTGTCTCCTAGGAGCAATAAGTACTTTGGAGAAAGTGTTTTCCAGCGTGATGCTCAAAAGTACAGGTAACCCGTGGACAATAAAATGTATATTCCTATTCTGAATGGACCTTGAAGAAGAATATGAAAAGTCTTTTTACAATGGATAAAAAAATGTATCACAATTACCATAATAAAATTTTGTAATAACCATTTCTGCTTCTATTCTATTTATTTTAAGACTTTTATTACTGAAACAATAAAAATAAATCTGGCTGAGATTTTTTGTGAAGGATTTTTTTAAACATATGAGCATCATTTTATATTTTATATGTATTATTGCTACATAATATTATATGTTGCTAAATTGCTAATGTTTCAGTTATTTTAAAAAATATATTATTTGAAAAATTCAGTACTGCTGTACTCCAGATTCAAGATGAATACAAAATAAGAGAGGCAAACAATTTACACTTGTAAAATAAGATTTCAAACTTGCCTTGCCTGAGGCTGTCTTTCATAAGCACTTAAGCTGCGTTTTATACCTGTAACAAAAGTACTGAATGTATATGAGTCTACAAACATTTTAAATTTATAAAATACTCTGCTTCCAACATTTGTACCCTACCATAGTAATTTTTAAAAATATATTCTGGCAATAAAAGACAACTTTAAATACAAAAAGTGTCAAGATGGAAATAGAACATAAGTACCACATTTTAATCACACTTGACAAAACATAGGAATATTCTATTTGTCAGCCATATAATTTGTTAGAGGGGTCATGGTGGCCTAGTGGTTAAGACACTGAGCTTGTCAAACAGAAGGTTGGCAGTTCAAGACCCAAGTATTATGTGACAGGGTGGCTCCTATTCTTGCTCCATCTCCTGCCAACCTAGCAGTTTGAAAGCATGCAAATGAGAGTAGATAAATAGGTACCACTTCTATAGGAATGTAACATCTTTTCGTGTGCCTTGGCATACTGCCATATGACTGCAGAAGCATCTTTGGACAAAATCAGCTCCCTTTGCTAGGAAACGGAGATAAGCACCACCCCCTAGAGTTGGGTATGTTTGGACAGGGTAAACCTTTGCCTTTAAATCTATCAGATGCAATAATTGTATCTAATTTCTTGTTACTGCATTTTTACTGTATATACTGTGGAATAAGAAAGCATACTATTTTCTTGTCTGCTATAAATGTTTTCTGGGTCAGAGCTCAAAGTAGGCAAATCTACTTTCATTCAGAATGAAAAAGAAATACTCTCTGTTCCAATCTTTCTCTTAGCTTTGTTATTAGGAATTAGCTTAGGAAAGACTAAATTACTTCACTCACCCAAAATATAGTCAAGAGAAGTATGCGGTGAGGGAAATTACAGGCTAAAAGATTTGGCATGTGTAGGATCCCTTCCTGTCATACATGATATATTATTTTTCTGATAAAAATGAAGTCATAAGCAGTAAAGGTAGTCCTCAATTTATGACCATAATTGGCACCAGAATTTCCATCATTAAATAAGTGATGAATATTAAATGAGTCATGCCTGATTTTCCAAACTTTTTATGATAGTTATGAAACAAATCACTGCAGTAGTTAAGTGGCCATTAAGAGAATCTGACTTCCCCCACTGACTTTGGTTGTTGGAAATGTGCTGGGAAGGTTCCAAATGGTAATTGCATGATCCCAGGACACTGCTAATATTGTAAATACATACTGGTTGCCAAGCACTCTAATTTTGATCACATGACTGTGAGACTGCTGCGGCAGTTATAAGTGTGAGGACCATATGTAAGACACTTTTTTCAGTGCTGCTGTAATTGTTGCTAAACAAATGGTTGTAAGTCAAGGACTATCTGTATATGCTTTAGGGAATCTTACGTTTTCTTTTTTCTTATCATTTCCAGCATTAACATGTAACATGAATAATAAACATCTATTGTATTTTAACTGGAAAAATATGAAGGGCTAGACATCTATTAATAAGGAAGTTTGGTTGAAGAGCAGTCAGATTGAAAAGTTTTTCACAGGGCATATATCCCTATTTAAAATGTTATTTGAATCTTCTCAAAATAAATTAAGATTAAAAGCTCAAATCTTACAAATCCCCTATAAGAATTAATATTCCAAAAAGTATGTAATTATATAGAAAAAAGATAGATTTAGATATAATGAGTAATCATGAATAACTGAAGTCATAAAGCTTCCAATCTTCTTATAATTAAGTCAGAGATCAAATGTAAGGGTTCTTTGATATCTATTTCATTTATAAGAATTTATTTCATACAATTATTCGTTCTTGAAAAACATAACAGACAACAAGGATATACTATAACAATAAAGATACATATTAAATGTATCTTTACTATGGAGAATGTGTGATGAAGTTCAGATGATTAAAGGCCTGGAGACAAAAAACATATGAAGAACAATTGAAAGAATTAAGTATGGTCAGCCTAGAGAAAAGAAGGACTAGGGATGACATAATAGCAGTATTCCAATATTTGAGGGACTGCCACAAAGAAAAGGAGGTCAACTTATTCTCCAAAGCACCTGAAGGCAAGGCAAGAAACAATGGATGGAAACTAATCAAGCAACCTGGAATTGAGGAGAAACTTCCTAGCAGTCAAGACAATCAACCAGTGGAACAGCTTTTGCCTTCAGAAGTTGTAGGTGCTTCATCACTGGAGATTTTTAAGAAAAGACTGGACAGCCACCTATCTGAAATGGTATAAGGTCTTCTACTTGAGCAAGGGTTGGACTAGAAGACCTCCAAGGTCCCTTCCAGCTCTATTCTGATTGATTGAAAGGGTCACTTATCTTAATGTTCAGCTTTACTTTTCACAGTACAGATCATGCTTTTTCAAACATAAAAATCCTTTAAATTTGATACTTATTCAGTTTATTTATGCCATTTTTAAAAAGACTGGAAATATGTAAATATTGCTTTCATATTTCACATTGTAGATCAGTTTATTTATAATTTAACATGCTTACAAGAATGTGCAAAAACCTCTCTGAAGACAGCCCATGGGGAAAACTTTGCAACATAACATCTCCCAGCTTTACCTAAAGCAGATAGAAGACCATGCTATCAAATGTGCATTAGTTAAATTGGAGGTTTTTACACCACATTAATTTGATTGTGGATGATTATTTAACTAAATCCCTAATTTTAAAATCAAGTTCTTCTTTTGTTTTTGGCTTGAGATTGTCTCATTTGGTTTTTCCAAATTTATTCTGAAACTGCAGGATCATCATTATGTTTTCATTTATGATCCATCTGTGCTATCTTATTACCTATTCAGATAATATAGTAAAGTTTTTGTCATAACTAATAGCTTCTAATTAACAATATCAACAATTCAAAAATATTCTTAAAGGAACTTACCAAATGCTGACTCTTTAAGGGGACTTGAACTAGAACTGCTAGATTGATCTGAAATATCCAATTCATCATCTAATTCCGAGAAGACATCTTTGTAAAAATAAAAGCAGAAATTAACCCTTCTCTGAAATTTTGATCAGGTATACTAAACATTTCTTTTTAACCTTACCTTTTTCTGTGTTTTCTAAAACACAGTTATCATCTGACAGGGTTTCATCTTTCTCTTCATCTTTTCCAGAAAACTGATGGAAGTGTTCAGATAGAATATCAGTATTTTCAGAAAATTCACTTTTTAAACTAGCTGTTCCACTACTACTGCTACTGAGACTTGACTTTTCATAACGTTCCTGCAAAATAATACAAACAATTCTTTAAGAATATAAATAATTTGCTCTGACAGCACAAGACTATGAAATTCACACTAAGTGGCATCCAAATTTCACAAATGTTCCTTAGATATTTCAGTTGTTAGAAATTATAGTAATCAAGCTTCTTTCTACCAGCTGGGCAAGACACTTTCATGAATAAATTTTCAAAGAAACAAATTTTAATAAGGATTATTATATAAAAAGTATCAAATCATTATGAAAGAAATAGGTTGGCTCTATGTCAAATTCAAGGCCAGTTTATAGTAAATCAAGGTTCAAATTTTGCCTCTCTTTGTCCTACTTGTTTGTGGCAATGGCAATGGCCTTCCTACCACTCTCTTTGGACTGGGATGTACAGTTTCTATTTCTCATTTTTAAACACATTTCAAGCAATGTTGGAAATACTATAAGATTTAGATCACAAGTTCGGGAAGTGATGACTAGTTTTTTTATTATAATTGTGATGCTACCTGCCTTGAAAGAGGTGGTGATATACTCTCTCCTGAAGAAACCATCATTTATTTGACAATTTTTATCTACAGTATTCTCCAATCTTATCTTTAAAAAAAAAAAGGTTGAGAAAATGATAACAGATTGAATTCCATTCAATCCTAAAGGAAGTAGCTTTTCTAAATCCTTTTCACTTGGAGCTGAAATCTATTATAGTTTGGCTGCTCCAATGTGGGATATTAGAGTTCTTATTCAAAATATTAATATCTATAGGAAATCATTAGAAGAGGTCATTCAATGCTTTGGAGTGAACTATCATCAGTATGTTGATGACAATCAGCTGTACATCTCCCCTACACACAGGGCTCAAGATGCTATGGAACCAGTGCTGGAGGCTAAGAGCCCATGGGTGAAACAATCGCAGACTAAACTTCATCAAAACAGAGTTGCTATTGCTCGTTAAATATCATGGTTTTCTAGACCAGTGGTTGCTCCTGATATGATTGTGCTTCTCTTGAAAAAACTAGTCTGTGATCTGGAGTTCATCCTGGACTTTTGCCAGGTTGCCAAACAGGCCTTGGCCCAATTCTATTGAAGCATCAATTATGGTCATACCTTGACCATGAAGTCTTCGTGACTCATGCCTGATGTAATGAAATATGTGCATTACCTTAGGGCAGGGGTCAGCAAACTTAAACATTCAAAGAGCCACTTGGACCCTTTCCCAGAGAAAAGAAAACACTGGGAGCCGCAAAACGTGCAAGCACATGCAATGGGGGGAGCTTGATTGAAGAGTTTAATTAAAAAGAAATAGACACTGCTGTGCATGAGTTCTCTCTCTCTCTTGCTCTCTGATCTTCTGCTCACCTGGCAAGCTGGCTTCACGCTGTTCTCCCACAAGTTTTCTCCTGCCCTTGGTCTGCCAGTCCTCTTCCGAGAGAGAGAGAGAGAGAGAGAGAGAGAGAGAGAGAGAGAGAGAGAGGGGGAGGGAGGGAGGGAGGGAGGGAGGGAGGGAGGGAGGGAGGGAGGGAGGGAGGGGAGGGGAAGGGAAGGGAAGGGAAGAGCAAGTGCCTCTCTCTGTCTCTGTCTCTATGCCAGTGGTTCTCAACTTGTGGGTCGGGACCACATTTGGGGTCGAACGACCATTTCACAGGGGTCGCCAAACAACGCTGTCCGCCATTTTTCCCCCTTTTCCTTAGCTATGCTACTCCCTTTTATTCTATTGGTTTTTGAAAGCCAATAGAATAGACTCTCTTGAATAGAGTCTAATTCTATTGGCTTTCAAAAGCCCATAGGAATTGTCCAGGCTGTCTCTGCCCTGCTGAGCCCGCCAAAAGTCCCATTCTGCAAACGGTGCTGCACCAGCTGAGTAGTCCTCGACTTACGACCGGTTGAGTAGTCCTCGACTTATGCTTGCTCCTAGGGAGGAAAGCTATGGCAAATCTAGACAGCATACTAAAAAGCAGAGACATCACCCTGCCAACAAAAGTGCGTATAGTCCAGGCCATGGTTTTCCCAGTTGCAATGTATGGCTGAGAAAGTTGGACCATAAGAAAGATTGAGCACAAAAGAATTGAGGCCTTTGAACTATGGTGCTGGAGAAGACTCCTGCAAGTCCCTTGGACTGCAAGGCGTTCAAACCGGTCAGTCCTAGAGGAGATCAACCCTGACTGCTCTTTAGAAGGCAGGTCCTGAATTTGAAACTCAAGTACTTTGGCCACCTAATGAGAAAGAAGGACTCACTGGAGAAGAGCCTAATGCTAGGAAAGATTGAGGGCAATAGAAGAAGGGGACGACAGAGAATGAGGTGGCTGGATGGAGTCACTGAAGCAGTAGGCATGAGCTTAAATGGACTCCAGAAGATGGCAGAGGATAGGAAGGCCTGAAGAAACGTTGTCCATGGGGTCGCGATGGGTCGGACACGACTTCGCAACTAACAACAACAAGTATATAGCTATTTGCTTGGTAATGTGGTACAAATTTTATAAATGTCCAGCATGAAAACAGGCTAATGCTGTACTATATATGCTCATTGACAACTTGGAACAAATAAGGGAGAATGTAATGTAGTCTTGGTAACAAAATAATTATATGTTTACCTTACCTGAGATAACACAGCAAGTTGATGGTGACATTTTATTGCATTCCTATTGGCCTCCATGAAATATCTCTGAGTACGCCTTCTTTCACGTTCCAACTTTTTTTCCAAAACAAGCTGGGAATTTGATAATCCATCTAAATATTTCATCACAACATCTGAAATCATTGAACTGACCTCTACTATATCAGGACGGGTCTCTGCATCAGGAGTCAAACATCTGTGGGGAAAAAAATAGTTGGTGATGGACCCTTTAACTTACAATTATTTACTGTGCCTAAGTAGAAGCTTGTAAAACTAGATTATATGAAGAATTTAACTGAAATATATTAATTTTGTTTTATCTCAGAAGTTCTAATGCAGAGATAAAGTCTGTAGCCCTAAGATATTGTTGCAATACAAATTCCATAATCCCTTCCTACTCATGCACACTAGGACTGATATGAATTTAAGAATATCTATACAACTATACATTGCTCACTCTTGCTCAAGTGGGTGAAGAAAAATATTTTAGCAATTTAACATCTCAGCAGAAAAAAGATTATTATGTAGCTACTAAAACAAAGTGCACACAGTCAGGAGCTAGGTCATGTTTGGGTCTATATATTGTTCTCAGAACAGTATGTGAAACAGAGTCAGAAAATGTTATAACAAAAGGCAAAGATGTTTTCAAGGACCATGGCTCACAAAAGGTTGAAGATTTGCAGTTGAAAACTAAGTTGAGGTTTGTATGTATAGGCATAATCTAGAAATGGATCATTACTTTGATGCTGACAAAGGAATAAGCTCATCCACTTTTCAACCACTATGAGATCACCTAAGATGAAGAATAAACAATTTATATCTTATTCCACTCTAAATAAATTTCATTGTACTATTCATTGAATTTGTACTAGTCATTTAAAAATTAAAGGATGGTAGGACAACAACAGTATTCACAAGAACTCATATACTAGGGATATATTCTTATACTATTTCTTCAATTTAGTAGTTGGGAAAGTAGATAGAATGGCACTTATCCTTTCTTCAGTAGGTAAGCAATTTTTCTATTTTATTTTTCTTTTTGCTCACAATAAAGATACCTTTTCTTTTTTCTCCATGTGCTAACCTTAATGATATTGCCTGTTGTTTATGTTGTACAGATTTCTGTTTCAGCTACAATTCAAAATTCACAATTTTCATTTAGAGTCACGCATTATGAAAGAAATCAGAATTATTGTTAGGCTTCTTTTCTAATTACCTCTCATACTTAAATCTTTCTACTAGCTAATTTCCTATTTTATAGAATAATAAAACTAATGATTTCATCTTCTTTCATATTATCTCTTTATATTTATGGCATTTGTTGTTGTTGTTAGTTGTGAAGTCATGTCCGACCCATCATGACCCCATGGACAACTTTCTCCAGGCCTTCCTGTCCTCTACCATCTTCTGGAGTCCATTTAAGCTCACGCCTACTGCTTCAGTGACTCCATCCAGCCACCTCATTCTCTGTAGTCCCTTTCTTCTATTGCCCTCAATCTTTCCCAGCATTAGGCTCCTCTCCAATGAGTCCTTCCTTCTCATTTGGTGGCTAAAGTACTTGAGTTTCAACTTCAGGATCTGGCCTTCTAAAGAGCAGTCAGGGTTGATTTCCTCTAGAACTGACCAGTTTGATCCGCCTTGCAGTCCAGGGCACTTGCAGGAATCTTCTCTAGCACCATAGTTCAAAGGCCTCAATTCTTTGTTGCTCAGCCTTTCTTATGGTCCAACTTTCACAGCCATACATTGCAACTGGGAAAACCATGGCCTGGACTATACGCACTTTTGTTGGCAGGGTGATGTCTCTGCTTTTTAGAATGCTGTCTAGATTTGCCATAGCTTTCCTCCCAGGAGCAAGCGTCTTTTAATTTCTTGGCTGCAGTCCCCATCTGAGGTGATCTTGGAGCCCAGAAAAATAAAATCTGTCACTATCTCCATTTCTTCCCCATCTATTTGCCAGGAATTGAGAGGGCCGGATGCCATGATTTTGGTTTTCTTAATGTTGGGTTTCAAGCCAACTTTTGCACTCTCCTTCTTCACCCGCATCAAGAGGCTCTTTAGTTCCTCTTCACTTTCTGCCATCAGAGTGGTATCATCTGCATATCTTAGGTTGTTGATATTTCTCCCAGCAATCTTAATTCCAACTTTTGATTCATCTAGCCCTGCCTTTCTCATGATGTGCTCTGCATGTAAGTTAAATAGGCAGGGCGACAAAATACAGCCTTGCTGGACTCCTTTCCCAATTTTGAACCAATCAGTGGTTCTGTGTCCAGTTCTCACTGTTGCTTCTTGACCCGCATATAGGTTTCCCAAGAGACAAATAAGATGGTCTGGTACTCCCATCTCTTTAAAAACTTGCCACAATTTGTTGTGATACACCTAATCAAAGGCTTCAGCATAGTCAATGAAACAGAAGTAGATATTTTTCTGGAACTCCCTAGCTTTCTCCATGATCCAGCATATGTTGGCAATTTGATCTCTAGTTCCTCTGCCTCTTCAAAATCCTTCCTGTACTTCTGGAAGTTCTCGATCCACATACTGCTGGAGTCTAGCTTGTAGGATTTTAAGCATAACTTTACTTGCATGTGAAATGAGTGCAATGATACGATAGTTTGAACTTTCTTTGGCATCGCCTTTCTTTGGAATTGGAATGCTAACTGACCTTTTCCAATCCTGTGGCCACTGTTGAGTTTTCCAAATTTGCTGGCAAATTGAGTGTAGCACTTTTACTGCATCGTTTTTTAAGATTTTGAATAGCTCAGCTGGAATACTGTCACTTCCACTAGCTTTGTTGTTGCTCAGCTTTCCTAAGGCCCATTTCACTTCACATTCTAGGACAGTGGTTCTCAACCTTTTTAATGCCGCGACCCCCAACCGGTTGTAAGTCGAGGACTACTCAACCGGTCGTAAGTCGAGGACTACTCAACTGGTGCAGCACCGTTTGCAGAATGGGACTTTTGGCGGGATCAGCAGGGCAGAGACAGCCTGGACAATTCCTATTGGCTTTTGAAAGCCAATAGAATTAGACTCTATTCAAGAGAGTCTATTCTATTGGCTTTCAAAAGCCAATAGAATAAAAGGGAGTAGCACAGCTAAGGAAAAGGGGAAAAAAATGGCGGACTGCGTTGTTTGGTGACCCCTGTGAAATGGTCGTTCGATCTCAAATGGGGTCCCGACCCACAGGTTGAGAACCACTGTTCTAGGATGTCTGGCTCGAGGTCATTGACCACACCATCGTGATTATCAGGGACACTAAGTAATTCTTGTATAGTTCTTCTGTGTAATTTTGCCACCTTTTCTTAATCTCTTCTGCCTCTGTTAGGTCCCTGCCATTTTGGTCCTTTATCATGCCCATCTTTGCATCAAAAGTTCCCTTCATATTCCAATTTTCTTGAAGAGATCTCTGGTTCTCCCTATTCTATTGTTTTCTTCTATTTCTTTGCACTGTTCATTTAAGAGGGCATTCTTATCTCTTCCAGCTATTCTCTGGAATTCTGCATTCAATTGGCTGTATCTTTCTTTTTCTCCCTTGCCTTTCGCTTCCCTTCCTTCCTCAGCTATTTGCAAAGCTTCCTCAGACAGCCATTTTGCTTTCTTGCATTTCTTTTTCTTTGGGATGGTTTTAGTTGCTACCTCTTGTACAATGTTGCGAACCTCCATCCCTAGTTCTTCAGGTACTCTGTCTATCAGATCTAATTCCTTAAATCTATTTATCACCTCTACTGTATATTCATTAGGGATATTCTCTTGACAAAATTCTATCAGCCTATGGCATATATCTTGTAAATACAGACTTTCAAATGATGGACAAAACACTTAAGATAAAATGAACTCCCTTCCCTTATCTGAGATAGGTTGAGTTAGATTAGACTGTAACTAACCTGCAGTAACTAACCTCTCACTCACAATTTTGAGGTTTGACGAAAACTTCTCTTCATTCTTAACTCAACAAATAGAATCAGCATGTGTCTTTTAATAATAACTCATAATTATATACCATAGGCTTGAGGGAGGGCTGATTACAATCAATATTTGCTATGTCCTGTTTAAATAAATTAACTCGTAAATAATTTTATGCTTATGGAGCAGCAATAATGATATTAACATCATATTTCAGGACATATCAATTGCTAATGGCTATTTTTTGAGTATGTTTTTTTATTTTTTTCTCAGCAAATGTTGCTACTTGTTTGAATGTTCTTTATTTTCAATACAAGTTATGCATACAGATAGTCCTCGAGTTATGACCATTCAAAGTTGTAGTGGCGCTAAACAAATAGGCAATTAGTGCTCATATTTCCAACAAGTACAGCCTCCCTATGGTCACATGAACAAATCTGAGTGCTTGGCAACCAGCTTGCATTGGCTAAAGTGTTTTGCAGTCATGTGATCATTTTTGTGAACTTCCCTGATGTGTCCTCACAAGCAAGCCAGTATGGAAAGTTACAAGATGCTCAAATAAGTTTCTCCCAACATCAGTCTTTCCTTGTTTGGATGCACCACACTGTCCTCCCCTCCTTTGCTAGTGCAAACCCGGTATCCTCTTTCGCTTCCTGTGCTCGCACACATTTATTGTGGGGACAAACTAGAAGGGCTGATTTTAATTTTTAACAAGCAAAGCTTTCAACTTAATTCAGTCTGAAAAGTGAGAGACTCCCTTGACAGGTTAAAAAAAGAATTGGAGGCGATGCAAGTGGTAAAAAGAAAGGAGCTATGCAGCAAATGCAGCAAGACACTGAAAGAGAAACTAATATGTTGAGCGCTACAGATATAGACTTTTCCACTTTTACAGCATAAATATGGATTTAATTGCATAACATGGAAAGGCTCAACTCTGCAAAAAAAAAAAAAAAGAGTAGCAATAGTTAAGATGTTGACCTAGAAACCAAGAGAGTGGGAGTCCTAGCCTTAGTCGTGAAAGCTGGCTTTTGACAGGTCACTCTCTCTCAGCCCAATTCATATCAGAGGTTTGTTGTTGGAAAAATAGGAGGATGAAGTATGTTTCCACAGTTGTATATGGTAAAAAAGTGAGATAAAATATTCTAAAAACCTATCTAATTATTTGAAAAAGTTAAAACAAGTAGCAATTTCTTTAAAGGAAAATATATATATAAGGAAAAAAATAAAAATATTGAATATATAAACACTGGGACAAGAATTTATCTTAGGAGGAAAAACTAAGAAAACTTGAGTTGTCTTTTATGTATACTCACAACTACAACCAAAACTGATACTGACTGATGATTATGGTAGATACCTAAGGGATGGAAATTAATCTGAATGAAACCAGGATTATGATGTTAGGAATACATACACCAACTGACAACAAAGGTATATTTTTCAAGGAGTTTATGGAAATATTAATGGATATGAAAATTGTTTATTGGGACTGGAATGAAATTGTTTGCCCACATAGAACCTCTATGAAAGGAATTAAAATAACACAAGGCAAATTACCTAAAATATTTTTTTAAATGTTGAACTATGAGCTTACAAATGTATGACAACATAAAAATTGAGATTTTAAAGGATCTAAATATTTCTCAGATATTTTTCATTAATATATGTGCTTTGGATTTCTAAAAAATCTTGTCATATGTGTTAACAAAGTGAAGATAGTGTCAAAGACCTTTCCAAATCATAAACCAATGACTTTAACATATAAGAGAAGAATTAGAACTTATAGATGTGGCTAATTTTGTTACAAAAAGGAATCAATAATGGAAAACTGTAAAAAGAATATGAAAGATTTTTTGAGAATAACTTTAATAAAGACCCAGATATAAGGACAGTATAGAATGCTAGTAAAGCCTTTATAAGAAAACAATTTACTAAAAAAGCAAATTGAAGAAACAAAGCCAAGAGAAGATACAAAACATTATAATATATAATATTCTGCCCATATTTAAAACCCACTCCTTGATTGTGGGTATTTTAGTGTTTTTGTACTTTGTGCATATAGTAGTCTTGGTGCAGTTTCCAATATAAAACTAGTATCTCATAAGTCTTTCTGTTTATCCATAAGTCCCAGTTTAAAAAGTTCTAGCTTTATCTGTATGTTAATCTTTAAAATTGTTTGCATCATCATGTATATTTGTATTCAACTCTTTTTTGCATGTTTGCAAGACCATCATAAATGGTAAAATATCCCTTCATGTTTTTCACATTTCCAACATTGATTAAAAATACATTTATGCATTTTAGATTATTTTTCTAAAATACACCGATAGTACATCACTTTGTAAACATAATCTCTTAAATTACTGGTATAAAACAATGTGAATTTCAGCATTTTAGCCACATTCTCTCCCATTGGTCCATCTGTGTATTGTAATCAAAATTCTTATCCCATTTTATCCTGCATTTTTTTAACTTGTTCTTATTCCATTTCAAATCTCAATGTAGTTTATACATTTTAGCAATCATATGTTTATCGTTGTACATAATTCAATTCCAAATTCCACATTATGTAGATCAATTCCCCTACTTTTTATCTATAATTAATCACTCTCTTAACTATGCACATGAAAATTACTGAAAACTAAATCCCCCTGCAATTAATTGTTCTCTTGGCTTTATCTTAAATTCTCCATAATTTTGCTACATTAATCACTTCCCTTTACCCATGGCTATTTTATAAAATGCTTCTAAGCTGAAACCTACTTTAGGGCACAATCTGAATTCCACATTCTTAATATGGCACTCTTAACAATTATTTTTAACATCTACATTGATTTTATTTTATTGTACTATAAAAAGCCATGCCACTTAAATCTCAAGTTGTGTTCTTCTAATTCTAACATTCTCCTATTTCTCAACAGCACCAATTCTTTTATACAAGCCAAACAGCAGGCTACAAAATACAATTTGGAATCAGGCAATCCTCCTCTTTCTTTTGCATCTTGAAGAACTATATATTTAACCCTTGATTGTCCATGGGGTCGCGATGGGTCGGACACGACTTCGCAATTAACAACAACAACAACATATAAATCTAGATATATCTTTTTGCCATTACTTGAAAGATACACATTTGTCAAAATAGGTACTGTTTGATTTAATTTAAAATTTAATTTGCTGGGAGGCATTTTTCCTTCCTGGAGATCTCCTTAATTTCTCTGTCATATACATATAGGTGGATATCCTAGCCTTTCTTTCTGCTGAAAAAAAAAACATTTAGCCTTTTTCAAACAAGAAATTGTCTATAGGATTTTCATTTTTAGTCTCTAATTAATGTGTAATTTCCCCAAAAGTTGAAAAAGCATGGCTTTTTATGGCACAAAAAATAAAATCAATTATTTGAAGTTAAGGAAATATCTTTTTCAGGACTCTTATATTTCTGTGGAAATATATAAAATGTATTGAAATCTATCTATTTTATTTATAAATTTGTGCTAAGTTTGATCTCTCTTTGCACTTGAATACTAAAGTTTCATGTTTTGTCTTTTTATTTTCATGTATAATTTATGAAATTAAATATTCAATTTCAGTCCTTATTTTTTCTTCCAGAGAAGTTCAGACACTATTTTAAATTTAGAATCTATTTATGATTTGTAATAATGCAACCTGGAAATCTTTCTGTAGATTCTTGGAGGATCTTTTTCAAAACCAAATCTCTGCATTTTATATAGATATTTTTATTCCTTTATTATTTCTATAAATAACTCAAGTTGGTGAGCATACTTAATATTTCCTCTTCCTTGTCCTTAAAATTAAATCATTTTAATACTTAAACAGCTTTATTATAGCTTTTTAAAATATAGATTGTTTCTTTTATCTTTTGTGAGATTTGTTTATATCTCGAGAAAAGCTCTCAATCCTATAGACATCATACCTATAAGGTACATAATTATGAGGTGATGCTATAGATAAAATTCAAGTTTCTCATTTTTATTTTTTAATTATTATAAAGTTAGCAACCAGTGTTAGCACTCTGGGTCACCGGAGTTAGAAGACAGATGCCAATGAGGTACTGCTTAGAAGATAGATGATGGCAGCAGGAGCTATCACTTTGTTACTTTTAAAGCAGGAGATGGAACGAAGGAATGAAAAGCTGCACAGCTTCTAAAAGAAGGTATTTGGGATCTCCAACCTTCTACCCTACATGTCTCAGCAAGTCCTCCATAGTTAATCCTATGCACAATAAGATATTTCTCTTTATTGAACTGTCCTGGAAAGATTAGTTAAAGGATCTCAAAGAAATCATAGAATTAGAACAAATTCTCCTTACGAATATTGATTAGAAATGAGAAAATAAAGCACACTACTTTGTTTTACTTTAAATTTGATTTTGAGAAGTAGAGATATTCCTCTGATTGGGGACTTGTAACTTCTGGTTTGGTAACATACCTCTAATGCTTACATAATGCATATTGTTTAATTTAATTTTATTTAATTAGTTATATTTTGTTAATAAGTGATATAAGGTCTAGTTTATTATTTTTATTGGAAAGCAATTACTGATTACCACTAATTCCTTATAATTATTCACCTAAGATGGCGGTGCCTGGATCGGCTGCGGCTGCATTGGCTCTTGAAGGTGAAAAGTTTTGGGAGGGATATTAAGGGATATGGGCCACATGATCAGGAAGGTTTGATCTGTTTGAGCAACATGGTGGAATTAAGGTAACATACAACTGACAATCTTTGCTGGCATGGCGAGTTTCTAGCTGTTTCAGAACTATTGGTGAGACTGCTAAAAGTTGTTGGCGCTGTTTGAAATTGTTCTGCCAGCAGCAAGATCTGACTGCTGGCCCAGCGATGGATTCTATTGCAAATCAGGGCTGTTTCCAAAGGAGGCAGAGGAGGAGAGGTCCTGGGGCTTATGGAGCGAAGGAACTGGATGAGGCTGTCGGCAGGCCCAGAGGAAGAGAGAGAGGCTTTTGGAGGAGTTGGTGGCGGTGGCAGCGTGCTCCAGGGGCGAAAAGAAGCAAAGCCTCTTTAAGGAAAAGGTGGAAGAGACAGGATCAGAAAAAGGAAAGAAGGCAAGGTTGTCGTGTAGGAATACAAGCTAATCTGATGTCTAATCCACATGGAGCTCCATTTCCATCTGTCCTGTTTGCCATCATTCACTCCCTAGAGACTAAAATGGACGATCTGAAACTTGAGCTGGCCACGAACAAGGAGTGTATATCGGAGGAGGTGACCCTTTGAGAGCTGAATGCAATGAAATTTCATTTTGATGTATGCCAATTGGTGTACATTCAAAGTGACAATAAAGTTGTTGTTGTTGTTGTTGTTGTTGTTATTATTATCATCGCTAGGTTTTAAACTACTTTGTATATTCAAATTCAATTGATATTTCTTTATAGGTAGATCTCAAGTTATGACTAGTCACTTAACAGCCATTCAAAGTTACAAAAGAGACACACACACCCCATATATATATGACTCAGTTCAAACTTATGGCAGCTGCAGTGCCCCCGCAGTCATTCACCTTTACAACCTGAGGGATCCTACAGTGGCCCTTCACTTTTCCCATCCCATCCTGATGGGACCCCACAGTTTTTAAGTGCAATATAAATAAATATTTTGGTTTGTCACACAGTCAGCCAGATGTTAGACTAGATTTGGCATTTTGTCTATTTATTGAGTGTTTTCCAAGGACCTGGGATAGGCAGTTGTGGATATTTGATGTTGTTACAGATATCATTGCAGAATGTAAGCTGTTCTAAGTAAAGCTGCCTGTTGCAGTTGATTAATAAATGTTATTATAAATAAATATTAAATAAATTATTAAATAAATTATTTTATAATTTAATAAAATAAATAAAGAGGCAAACACTGAATGCTGTTTAAATTAAATAAGTTCATTAATAAAAGTGGAAAAACGCTCTAATTTAAAACAATACTTACCTTTTTATGACAGCTGATATCTTTGTAGTATACACACCTCCTGGCACTGGCTCATAAACAGCTTCTACTATCTGCAAAATAAATAGTTGCTGTCATTTTTAAAGTGATTTTATATTGTAATTTTCTATTTGATCTGCATGGCATACTTCACATAATTAGCTTCCTCTTATAGCTGTCACTTACAAACAATGAAAACAGATATATGTGCAGTTTTTATGTAAATAAATAGCTTTACGAATATGATAAATAGCTTTACGAATAAGGAACTCATTCAAAAATAATCAAAAATATAAATAATGATCCATATTTCATCATCATCATAGCTATTATTTATGCACTGCAGGATGAAGTCTGCATGTTTCCAACCAATACAGTCCTGAGCATTCCTTTGCAAATTGGACCCACAATTTCATTTGAATAAATGCAGTTATTTAATTTATATCCATCTTTCTATTCAATCAAGTATAAAAATATATTTTAATCATAATTAAAATATAGAATGCAATGTGGAAATTAAAATAAATAATTGAAACAAGGCAAAAAGTAATTAACAATGAGAAGCCTTGTGGAATAAATAATTTCTTAGCTAATTTTCAAATGATAAAGATAATAAAGTCTCATCCAAATCCTGGAGAAGGCATAGCCTGGGACAGATATGTGATACAGGAGCAACATAAGAAATATTTTCCAGATTTTCTGGATTCTAAGATGGCGGTGCCTGGATTGGCTGTGGCTGCATTGACTCTCAAAGGTGAAAAGTTTTTTTGAAAGATATAAGGGATATAGGCCACATAATTGGGAAAGTTTTAATGTGTTTGAGCAATGTAGTGGGACTAAGCTAACATATGAATGAATCTTTGCTAGTATGGCGAGTTTTTAGCTGCTTCGGAACTGTTGGTGAGACCGTTAAAAGTCGTTTGCGCTGGTTGAAATTGTTCTGCTGGCAGCAAGATCACAATGCTGGCACAGCAATGGATTCTATTGCAAATCAGGGCTGTTTCCGAAGGAGGAGAGGAGGAGAGGTCCCAAGGCTTATGGAGCAAATGAACTGGATGAGGCTGTTGGCAGGCCCAGAGGAAGGGAGGAGTTAGAGGCGGCAGCAAAAGCAGTGTGCTCCAAGGGCGAAAAGGACCGAGGCTCCTTTAAGGAAAAGGTGGAAGAGACAGCATCAGAAAAAGGAAAGGAGGTGAGGACATTGTGCAGGACTATAAGCTAATTTGAGGGCTAATCCACATGGAGCTCCATTTCCATCTGTCCTGTTTGCCATCATTCGCTCCCTAGAAACTAAAATGGTATAAGAGGCACAATCCCTCAATCATGCTTAATCTATTTAGAGATTTACAGATTAACATCAAAGCTCCAAGCTATGGCTCTTCCATATGAAGCATTTTTGTGCAATGAATATATTTTTGGATTTTACAGGAGTTCCAGAAGTTTTTTCATTTAGAATTCTTCTGGAGGGTTTTCCTCATTTTTTTTCTCTTTTTTTAGAGAAAGAGAAGGCAATAAAATAACTTTGCATTGACTCTTGTCTGGCAATAATAGGAACAGCCCCTTAATAGACCTTAATTATGATTTGATGAAATAAATTATGAAGCAACTAAATAATTGTCAACTTTTTTCTAGTCTGTAGGTTTCTTTATAGAGAATTCTTCGTACCTGAGATTAAATATGCCTTTTAAAAGCTAATTTTGAACCTTTTTAAGATATATGTCACATTTTACAAATTCTTACCATAAGTATAAACTCTGAGGATTAAGCAATCTTGCAGACTATGGAGAAGAATATTGTTAGTTTTGATTTATTTTAATTCTCTAAAAGCCACAGGGGACATAGCATTTGCCACTGGATCACAGATCAATGTTAGATGTCTGTGGAGATTCTCCATCATCCAGGTTATGGTTGTCTTAAAGGTGCTTTTTCAGAGGTAACTGGACTTTCTTGTTTTTCTCTGGAAATATTTTGCTTCTCATCCAAGAAGACAGCTGGTTATTTGCATACTTTTAGAGAATCACTGAGGCCACTTGGAAGTTTGTCTGTATCCTCAGGGTCACCTCAGTAGTGAACTGTGGGGTCTTTGGTGCTCTTTGAGCTTGGTGGTTTTCTTGCAAACGTTTCATTACCAAATTAGGCTGATGATGATGCCTAGTTTAATAATAAGACATCTCCAAGAAAAACACCAAACTCAGAGAATACTGAAGATCTCATAAATAAAAAAGAGGGGGAAAGTTAAAGAGATTGAGCTGTCTGCCTCTTAGGCCCAAAGTCATCAAAACTTTTAGTCCAGTATTTAATTTAGGGCATCTGGAGAATATTTCATGTATATAATCTAGCAGTTTATCTATGTCAGAATAATTATCAAAACTGTTTCTCTAGACCTGCTATAAAATCCTAATGAAATGCAGGATTTCTGCCTGCAGAACATTTTCCACGAGGTATAACAAATATAGGATTAAAAAAGCAATTAAATGAAACAAATAGGCAAAAGTAAATTTCATTTAGCAAACCTGCATACTTTAGTTGCTAAGGAGAGCATGTTGGTACTATAAAATGGAGGATTGAGTGTTGCCATCTGATATAAAACACATCCTGCAGCCCAGACATCAGCCTTCTCACCATATGGTTCACTCTTTACAACTTCAGGGCTGCATAAATGAAAACAAAATATTATATGCAATACAGAAAGGACAGAGGAGAGGTCAGCAAATATATATTACCATCAAAATCCTGAAGAGTTTGTAAAAAAATCTATAAAAATACAAACAATTCAGAGTTTATGTAGAATAATAATGGCTATTTGATTTCCCAATCTAGCCTATTAAAATTACTTGGGATAGAACTCATTCTGATAATAGCATTAATGTGATTTCCTCAGTCTTGCAGCACAAAAGTATACTAGTATAATTCTGGCAGCCAAGCTGGTGCTATTCTTTCAGTTTTAATGTAGGACAACTTAAGGAAAGTGATGGTTGGATTTCCTGCTAGTGGGGGGGGGGGGGAATCGCTAATTACTATCCCTAACATGGATTATTAGAAAGGAAGCAAATTTTGGAAGATGCCTAGATTTATGAGTTTGGATATCTGCCGGAATCTCATCTCTGAGAGGAGTGGATTTTTCTGCAATAAAGCAGGACAGGTTATTTTCTATATTGCCAAGAACCCCAACATTTCATAGAATTCAGGATTATCTCAATCAGTCACTCGGTCAATCATTCTCTCTCCTTTGCTTGGTCTTTCTTGCTTTTATCATTCTCCCACTTCTGTGGCCCTTCTCATTCAATTTTTTTCTTTCTCACTCCTTTTCTCACTTTTTCACAATATATCATTCTGTCTCCCCCCATCTTCTTACATTTCATTCAGTCTACCTTTCTCTTTATGAATTGTTCTCTCTTTCACCCAAGTTTTCCTTGTTATCTCTTTTTTGCTTATTTATTCTCCATCTCTATGCGACCTTTAGTCTAAAAACAGCTAATTGGAGCTCCTGCCAGGTACCACTCCTATCACCCCTGTAATTCTAACATGGCAGCATCATTGCTCCTGTTGTCAGAACCATAATCAAAACTGGCAACACTAATTATTTTACAAAAGGCAGCAAACAAGCTTGCAATTACTTGAATTTCTTGTTAGTATTCTATCAATAGCGAAAGTTTTAATGTAATCATTTAATAATTGCCTTTTCACATTACTAAGGCAATTGTCTGCAATGTAATCAGATGTCTCTTCCATTTTTGGGAGCTTGATTGGTTGCAACCAGTTTTTATTTATTTGTTCTAAAATGCTGGATTAATACCCTCCTCCACTTAGAATTTTAATTTAACATTAACATTTAAAAATTTAACTACAGCTTTGTAAAATTATAGCAAACAGTCTAGATAATACCCTTCAATGAGTATGGAATAAATTCATTCATTTTTGTACCATGGCAGCAGCTAGCTAATCTTACATTAATCCAGAAGCTAAACAGAGCCAGAATTGGTTAGCCTTTGGAAGTGGCTAAAGGATTGTCTGGGAGGATGTAAAAGCATTCCAGAAGAACGCAAAGGCAACCATTTCTATTTCATTGTCAAAGAAATAACATCAAATCAATAGAACTTGAATTCTACAAGAAGTGAACTTATTCATAAAAGTCAATATTATCTAATATTACCTCTCAGTCACATATCACATATTCTAATCAAGAAGAAAAATCACCAGTACCCTGGTTACAAACCTGTAGTTACTGTCTAGCTTAACTTTTTTCAAATTTATGTTTCGCTTTTACATTTAGATAAATTAGTAAATTTCTATAATAAGTAACTATTTTTGATAATTTGTAGATGATAAGATTTGCATTCCCAAAGCAATGCACCAAATTCTGTTTTATATTTGAATATTTATATTTAAATTCTGTTAAATATTTGATAAGAAAAGAAATAAGAAAATGAGAGCAAGTTTGTTGTAGTGTTTAAGATATTGGCCTAAAAACCAGGTCACTGTGAATTCTAGTCCTGCCTTAGGCACAAAAAAACTGAGAAGATGACTGGGCCAGTCATTCCTTCTCAATTTAACTCACCTAACAGGGTTGTTTTTGTGGAGAAAAATAGGAGAAGAAGGAATATTAATACATTCACCCCTTCATATTATATATGAAAAAGTGGGATAAATATTTAAATAAATAAAAATTATGGAAGAAATTATAATAAAAAATGGAATGAGGCTGAAAAAAGTTACAGTAGGCTGAATGATAACATAAAGTAGTGTCCCTGAAAATCTCAAAGAAGAGAGGTTTTTGTATACTAAGGTCACGTTCATTGAAATACAAAGTTCCTTTGGAATTTTGAAATAAGTTGTACAAAATAAAACCAGGAGAAATCAAATAATAAAGAAATAAGCTACACATAGGATTATACCTTACATCAAAATACAGTTAAATCTATAATTAATCTTTCCCAACTAGTGGCTAGCCTCAAAACTGAAACTTCAAAGTCAGTTTCAAAAGAAACTCTAAATAGCACAAATTATGATCAGTTTGAATATATTACCAGAATGAGAAAGGGCACAGAACAAGAAATAAATTCATTTATTTATTTCATTTTTAATCCCATTTCATTATTTTTATAAATAATACAAGACAGTGAATCTATCTAATACTTCTTCTTCCTCCTATTTTGTCCAGAACAATAATCCGGTGAAATGAATGGACTTGAGAGAGAGAATAACTGGCTAAATACATTACTATACATTTCAATCTGTGACCCATCAAATTTTGTTCTGAAGCCCTCTTTTTTCATTCCCAAGAGTCCTGCAAGTACCATCATATTTCAGCATTAAAGCATCAAAAATTACACAGGAAATTTCTTAAACTGTTTTTCAATAAGATATAACAAAAACGCTTGTGTTAAATCTCTGATAAAATAAATTATGCCTAATGATAGAAAATATAAGTTTTCAAATTGTAAAATAATATTACCCTAATAACATGGGCTAAGAACTTTAGTCCTGCTCTCTTTGATGAGGTTATCATGCCATTTCCTACCCTCCTGTATGTCCACTGTAAAAAGGATGCTTCCTTATTTAGGCCTTGTATGAATAGTTCCTTCCATTTACATTGAGAACGTTGAGGTCAAGATTAAATATAATTGCTTGTACACCGTTTATCACTGTTTATTTATTAGACAGTGTTTAAACAGCATATTTAAAAACAATCTATATGTATAATATATAAAAGTCATCTAAACAGTACAAAAATAAAGGCAATTTATTTAAAAGTTTAATATTAATGGGAATTAATGTGAGAAGGTCAACACTGAGACCTGGTGAATAAAAGTCAATACATACAGTATACAATACTGCAAAGATGTTCTATTTTTGGTCATCACCAGGCTTAGTCCACAAGAAGATTGTGGTGACTGTTGTAAATGGAGATTTCTTTAACCTTGCTTAAAAATTATGTTTGGTAAGAGCTCCTTTTTGCAATTCCCTAACTGCAGTTTGGGTAATCATATTTTTTTACATGTCCTTATGACATTGTTTTCATCTCCCATCCCACAGCTGAGACAGCTTAAATATATTTTCAACTGTTCCAAATTTAAAATGTTTTCCTTCCTTCCCAGATTTCCTCTTGCTTTACACGTGATCTAGTATTTGGCTGGATGATGATCAGAGGTCAGGATTTATTGGCTAGTTTAGGCTGTTCCTTTCCCCTGAGAATTGTTAAGAGATTTAAGTTCTGCACATGCACATCAGCTTTCATGAGAACAGGCATCTGACTTGAGCATAATAACTGAAATAGTTTATAACTATCATGAAAAGGAAATTTATTTACAGGAATATGTTATAGGAATAGGCAAAGCCTAACATCCAGCTAATTGCATCCTTCTAGGGAAAAAAAAGTCCCAAGAATATGTACTCTGTGCATATTTCCCTAGAAAGAAAGACTTGACTGTATTTGCCCAATTCTGCTCCAATATACATTAAGGAGATTTATTGATAAAGCTTTTTTATTGCTGGCAGATGATACTCAGTGGAAGGGGAAATGTAGCTAGGGGATCTACTATTTTCTTTCCTTAACATAATCTGCAATAAAATAGTAAGAGTGCTCTTCAGCCTCAATAATAAGGCAGAACAGACTGGCAATGAGAGGAAAACAAATTATGCCTGTTCCAGCCTTAAACATTATCTGTATTTCCAACAATATTTCAGGGTCACATACAGAACCCTGAGCCATTCTTAGAAATTAAAAGGTGAACAAAATGTTTTGTTTTGAAATGTGGCCAATTCACCAGAAGAATTATAAAAGATAGCTTGGCAATACTTTGGTATAGTAGTTAAGGCATCATGCCAGGAGATTATGAGCTATTCTACTTTAGGCATGAAAGCTGGCTATGGTGGGACTTTAGACCAGGCATTCTCCAGCACAAGATTATTGTTGCATGGAAAGTAGGAAGAGAAAGGAATATTAGGTGTGCTTGCCACCTTGAATTATTTATAATAAATATTAAAGTCAGGATATAAATAAAAACAAATTTAGACTAGAGGTATTTTGTAAAAAGTGGTGTCCCACCATGCCAGCCATTTTTAGAGTGTCTATAACTCTCTCAAACTTTCAAATGTGTCCTTGACTTAAGCCAAAACACACTTTAGCAATAGATGAACTTTGTTAGTAACCCATAGCTAATCCCCATCAGTAGCAGAAGTAGGGCAAAATTCAACCTCACAAAAGCTATTACCAGCAAGCACAAGCAGATGTATCTGCCAGTAATCTATACCATGGCATATAATGTCATCTGAACATAGCCATTTCATCTGCTACTCATATCTTGGTACATTCACAAGAAGTAATTAGAAAAAAGACTTCCAAACTCTAAACCTAATATTCTCTTACCAAGAGTACAGAATAGTTCCAACAACTGAAGTGAGTTTGCTGTTCTCCTGTTTTTGCTTTGCAAGACCAAAGTCAGCTGGAAATATAGAAGAAAAGCACATTATGTTTCTTATAGGAGATTCACTGTTTCAAAAATAATAAAAGTTAATGTAGAAGAATATTTTTCTCTATCCTTTTATACCACTAACCTTCATTCATTTAACTTGCTCATCTTCTGCATTTGCCTTTGAAATGAATTTCAATCAAATGTAACAATTTTCAGGCAGTTGCCTGCCACAATTCTAATTTACAATGTCATTCATTCTGATACCCTGTGCCAGCAGCATGGAAATGAAACACTGTTTAAATATGTATAAAAATCCATTTATGGAGATTAAAACTGAACAAATGTCAAACCACAAAACATAGTAGCTAAATAAATATTTAAATATTTTTTACTTTTTAAAACTATATCAGCTAGCATTCTTGGCAATACTGTAATTTCTTGAAGTCAAATCCAAGAGTAAAATAACAAGAGTAATCTTTTAAAAAGCCACTTAAGATATTTTAGTTGTCTCTGGGCTATTATGTTTCAATTTTTTTCTCAAATTACATTAGCTCTGTAAGGAAGGAGCTTCTTTCTTCCTGTGGGATTTACTTTGCAATATTGGCTTTAATAGCTATGAAAAGCAGTGAGACAAGATTGTTATGTTCATCAGCTTTGGCCTTCATACAATCAGTTGGACATTGAGTTGCTTTTGCAAATATAGACATATAAAATTACCAATACTTTAACCAGAATAGTAGGATTTAACCAGGTAAAATTACAGGAATTGTATGTTCATTTAAAATCCCAAGGTATTGTTTAAAGGTAAACTCGCTCTGTAACACAGCACATCTTAAGATGGAAATGCATATATCATTTCTATATATAGTGCCAGAATAAGTTACTTTATCTCTTAAGCAATGTAATAATGCACTGATATCAAAGCACTTTATTTTTCCAAATCCTTGGTGAAGCATAAATGAGGACAGGGAAATATTTTGGTCTCTGTTATCTTCATGAGTTGTTATTGTACTGGACAATTCCCCTATTAGCTGGTCTACATATTTTTCTAAGTGGGCACAGAAGAAGGATGAAATTCAAGTTCTTTGGAATCTCACTGCCTGTCAAACATCTTCCTGCCTAATGCTTCATTTGCCCTCTTTCATAATTTTCTTAACCACATAAAGAATGTCAGAACTTAGAGGAAGGCAGGATCTGTTGTAAGAGCAACTCCAAGCTCAATACTCTCTAAAGGCTTAGAGGGGGGAAATCAAAAGAACAGAATGGCCCCTGAAATGTCATTCTGGACTCCATAAATTAGGACTAAAATTCTAGGTAAACTTTAGAAATAAGCAATATGATCAGCCTTATAGAAGAGAAAAATGTCTGAGAAAAGTAATAAAATTTCCAACGTTAAAAATAAATAAAAATATTTCACATAGCTAATAATTAAGCACTGCTCCATGTTCTCCAAATGATGCCAAAGCTCTTATAGGACACTTTTATTTAGTGCTACTAATTAACCCAAACTCCAAACTTATAAGGTGTTATTTTAGACTGAGCCATATTTAATGACAGACTTATTCAGATTTTAAATGACAAGCCCAAGCTCTGCACTAGAAGTCATATTTTTGTTGTTTTTAATGATAATTAACATGGCAGAAAAAAGATACTACTTTGAGAAATGGCTGTCATAAATGACAGCTTCACATTAATCATAACAGGCATGGTCCAGTCAATGCTTAACATATGGAAGAATTTGAATTTTATTAATATTACTATTCTGTTTCTGATTATGCCTTTTATGACTTAGTCTAGCTACTCTCACAATTAATATTAATCAGTAATACCATACGCACTAGTGACAATAGTTCTCATTGTTTCTCAAATATACTAAAACATTCTCAATGTTCAATATTAAACATATTTTCAAAAGAAAGAAAAAGGATGTAAGATTAAAAAAACCTTAGAGTGTAAATCAGCTATGAGTTTTTCAATGAGGTCACTTTATAAAACAAATACCCATTATTTTTCAATGCAAATTTAATGTATTGACTACTGCAAAACTTGGTGCCTATAATCCTTCTGGCTAGACTTTATCTGCACTAATAGTGTGATTGTATTACAATTTTTTGGGTTAGAAAAGCTGAATCAAAAGCCAGTGATTTTTTTTCTAAAAAAAAAAAATAAGGTGTCAGAACTCACACACGTCATACAACCTGCCTTGCCTACCCTACAAGGTTTCATTCAAAAAAGGTGCCGTTCTGGGCGTTCTATGAGAAAAAAAGCCCTGTCAAAAGTTATATATCACTTTGCCTTGGCTGCTCTGATGAAAAATGGATTAGAGCTGTCAAGTGCTTTTAATTGGAATTAATAAAAAAATAGTTATTTTTGCATTAATTCAATTATAACAGCTGATTGGCATATGGTAGAGTCCTCTCGTGGAACTGCAAAGGATCAACAGTTTCTAATTCTTTTATTTCCTTGAAATAGTAATATCTCCCCCAGCAAGATTATTCTGACTTGGTATATTTTCAAATACTTAATCCCATAGAATAAAGTATTAATAGTCTTATTAATATTTATATTTGGGTGAATAATTTTAGTGAGCAAAACACACATCAAAAGGTATTCAGACCATATCAGAGAATCACAGAAATATGATTTATGCCAGAATGATACCCATAAATTAAAATAAGTAAATGACTTTCCCTATATTATGCAATTTTTTTCAATGTAGGTTTTCCTTCACAATTTCTGCTAATGTAAACATTCTGTTTATGTAATGTAACCACAGAGGAACAGTTGACATGTATATCTCTAAGTCTTCCAGTTGGTTTGGTGACATCTGAAGTTATTAACATGATTTTCCTTCAATTTGAATCAATGCAGCTATTTACTTACAGTATCTTTAATTCCTTTTTATGTAATTGATACCGTATTTCCCCACATATCAAACCAGGTCTTATATTTTTTTGGGGGACCAAAACACCCATTAGGGCTTATTTTCAGGGATGTCTTATTTTTGCAACCGGCCGCCCACTCCATCCCACCATCTGGTTGCTCGCAGCCGCAATGGGACCAGAGACTGTGTGTAGGTGGGGAGATGGAGCTGCCCAATGTGCCCTGTACCTGCTTACCTCAGGGACCCCGCAGCCAGGCCACTCCCCACTTGGCAACCTCCCCCGCCTATTCAATGACCCAGCTGCCTGCTCTGTCTCTTTCCTTTCACTTCCCTCCTGAGCCAGACTGCCACGCTATGGAGGATGGGTGGAGAAGGCTTGGTTGCCTTACCCGGTCCCCCTCCACCGTTTTGGAGCTAGGGGGAGTGATGGCACCTGCTGCTGGAGGGGCTTTCTTTGGTCCCTGCCAGTCCTGCCCCACAGATCATCTGCCCAGCAATGGTCTCCTCCTCCTCCTCCTGCCGCTTGGGTCCTGCGGTGCTGCATCAGGCTGCCTGCTCTCTGTTGGCACCTGTATTGTATGATTTCATTGGCAGTAGCTCTGAAGGCCAGTGGTAGACTCTCTGCATCATCCCTGGGTGGCTTTGCAGCTTTGCCCACACAGCCATGGGAAAGTTATACCAGGGCTGGCAGCGGGGACACTCCGAAAACCACACTGCCATGATTCCAGCCAATTCTCCCATGGCTATGTAGGCAAAGCCACGAAAGGGGCCAGCCCAAGGATGATTCAGAGAGCTACCACCAGCCTCCAGAGCTGCCGCCATTGAAACCATACAATACAGGTGGTGAATGGGGAGCAGTCAGCACAATGCAGTGTCACAGAACCCAAGTGACAGGTGGAGAAGGAAGACGAGATGGCCATTGCTGCACAAATGATCTGTGGGACCGGGCTGCTGGGGACCAGGTCATTGAAATGGCGAGGGAAGTCGCCAAGCAGAGAGTGGCCTGGCCATGGGGACTCCATCTGCCTCACCTCAACTTGTGGCGGCATCACCAGTATGACACGTATTCTCCTGGCCCATTGCAACCGCGAGCAAGCAGACAGGACAGAGTGGGCTGGCTCTTAACTAGGGTTTATTTTTGAAGTAGGATTTATATTAGGCGCACACTAAAAATCATGCTAGGGCTTATTTTCTATGTGGGTCTTATTTTCAGGGAAACAGTAATTTGCTTTATCTAGTTTCATTTAATCAATTATCAGTCCAAATTTAAGAATGCAGAGAAAACAAGAATTACCTATCTCAAAGGTTCTCAAATTATGAAATAAACACTGTGGCTGTGACTATTTCTAACCTACAACAGAAGCAACTATACACAAAGATAGTTTTTTGCCCCATGTCATCTAATGTCAAACACTTAATTCTCACAGCACTGTCTTATGCCTAAAGATAATTACTCATATCTGTATGCTGTATTGCTATTATCCTTCTCATCTTTCCCATCTTCTCCTACTAGCTTCTCCTATTAGTATCTTATGATTTATTACTTGTTGTTTATATCTTATGAATTATGATTGTATCTTATGATTTATGATCTATGACTTATCACTTTGTTGTTTATATATATATACTGAGAGTGTATGCATCAGAGACAATTTCCTTGTGTTTCCAATCACATTTGGCCAACAAAAAACATTCCAATTCCAATATTCCAATAAAGTAGCAGAGATAAAAACACTATGTAAAATTATGTATCACTTTAAAATATCTTCTCCATTTGAACAGCTAAAACCATTTTGGAGCTGAAACAGAAATTTGATGCTTTGGAAGAAAAAAATGGCAGAATTAAAAACTAAGGACTGATTCACATGAAATAAAAATTAATGGGGTTAAAAATTTTGATAAATAATATGAATGTTAAAAGTGCTGAATATTAATAAAATTAAATTTGAAGGGGTCTATTTAAAGTATTCTTTTTGGAAGTAATATATGATTTCTACAATCCATTATAATGCTGATTATAAATAATTATAATAATTGAGACACTATCTTAATATGGTTGTGGGGTTTGTGTGTTCTGAGGAAGAAGAAAGCTATGCCAAAGTTTCAACCATGCTAGACTGGTCTCATCAGAGGAGCCAGACAAAAA